TTTTTTTCCGGAACTGGGGATTGAACTCAGCCCCTTGCGCTTGCCAGGGAAGTGCTTATTCCACTGAGCCATCTCCCCAGCCCTGGGACCTTTAATGTTAACAAAGGAGAGTTTTGTGGTTGCTTGCCCAGGTCAAGGTCAGGTGGATCTATGCTGTGGTTTTGGGTCTGGCTCTGCGTGGGGTCAAGGGGAGAGAGTTTGGGGGTGGGGTGCCCGGGAAGCCAAGAGGGACAGTGTTTGGGGCAAGGTGCTGGAGAAACTTTGAATCCTGACCTATCATCCCAGACTATTTGATAGAAAAAGTGTGAAGAAATCATCTGGCTACTTCCTGCTGAGCAGGGGAGTCATGGCACCGTGACGTGACTCTGGAGATCAGAGGGAGGAGTTGTCTTCATTAGAGGGATCCCATGGGTGCAAGCTCTGGTAGGTAGGAGTATCCTGAGAGAAGCATTTGGTTCAAATTTCGGGTTGTTAGTCTGGTGACAGTATTGTGGATGGGGGAAATGAAGCAGGGGGCTACCATGAACATAATGGTAAGCCCTACGAGGGGCCCTAGAAGGGGAGCGAGCCAAAGGAAGACGGAGTTTTATGTATTGAGGTGTCACACAGAAAGAGCTGTGTGTCTATTTTGTATTGTTTGGAGGTGTGTTGAATGGAGTTTGGTATAAGGGAGGCCAGTGGACAGGTATGTGCGTGTTGTCAGGTACGGTCTGAATGGCTGTGAGATCAGGCCTTGGATGGACATGTGCCGGCAGCACTTGATGAGGTTTGTGGTCTGGGTAGAAGCAAGAAGGGAGTCTAGGTCTGAATGTGTCATTTTACAATGACCATGTGGAAGGGGAGGAGTAAGGAGATGGGGAATGATGGACTTGAGTTGCCTCTGATATGGAGCTATTGGGTACTGGGGAATGGAGGGAAAGGCTGTGGGATCTCTGAGGCACACCGATGTAGGAATAGTGTGTGGTGTGAGTGGGACTGCAAGTGTCTCAGAGGATGTGGTCGACAAGGGTAGGGGAGGGAGGAGCTGACTGTGCCTTGAGGTTAGGTTTATAGGACAAGCACTGTGGGAAGACAGGTGAGAGAGACACAGACCGTTTGAATGAGATCTCTCCCCATGACGGAGAGGTATGGAGTAGGTTGGATTTATAAGGAAATTTGGAGTGAAGAACAGTATCT